TCCTCCTCCTCCTCCTCCTCCTCCTGCTCCTCCTGCTCCTCCTGCTCCTCCTCCTCCTCCTCCTCCTCCTCCTCCTCCTCCTCCTCCTCCTCCTCCTCCTCCTCCTCCTCCAGGGGAGGCGCGGGGGCCGCGGGGAGGGCCCAAGCGGCGCGGGGCGAGCGGACCAGAGCAGGTGGCACGCGGCGCCAAGCCAGGCGGGGCCCGGAGAGGTGTCGTGATTCTCCCTCGGAGGCCACTGAGCACACGAGCGCTCGCCCTCGTCCTTCGGCGGTGGCCCCGCGATCTTCCTGCGGAGGCCACCGAGCACACGAGTGCTCGTCCTCGTCCTTCGGCGGTGGCCTACGCCAAGAATCCCCCCTCCTGGTCATCACCCCCCTCTTGGCCGCCCCGGAGACTTGGGGGACCAAGCAGCGACACAAACACACAAACTCGGAGGTCCGCGCGGCGTCCTCGGATCGGCGCCGGGGCCCCCGTGGCGGCGCCTCTGGCGCCGCCTCCATGGCGCCGCCTCCATGGCGCCGCCTCCATAGCGCGCTGCGCGCGCCATGGAGGGGGGGGTTCCAGCGCCGATCTGGGACATCCTCTATAGGCGGTGGACAAACCTCCCTTTAGTAAACCTCCCTTCGGTGAAAACGGCCAAGGACCGAAACCGACGGACCTGGACCCGCAAAGATGGCGGCCGCGACGCCCTCTCGCGAACCGAAAACGGCCAGTTCGCTAATCGGCGTGTCAGGGTAGGAGGTCTATCAACCTCCGAGTCCTCCTCCTTCCCCTTTCTTCTCGTCTCCTTTCTGCGCTGCAGCGCTGCCGCCTTGCGCGTGCCAGCCCGCAGGGCTGGGTTTCCTGTGGAAGGTTTCTCGTGGACTGGCCTCCACTGTACGTCCAGGCCTATCTTGGGCCCTCTTAGCAGGTAGCTGCCGTCCTCCTAAGACGGGGTGCATAGGAGCGGATTAGCACACTAGTGCTGGGCAAACTGGCAGGAACAAGGTGGTGTCAAGCAGCACAGATACGCCTGTGCTGAACAGAGCAGCGGTTCAAAACATCTTGCGTGAAATGTCTAAAGCAACGTCATCTAAAGCGACGCTGTCTGTCTCCGCCGTGAACGAGGAGATGGGCGTGCTGAAGAGGCCTCCTAGGTGCGGTCGGTCGGACGATCGCACCGCATGGCCGATGTATCACCGATACATGCACGATGCATCGACGATGCATCAGCGACGTCGGCGTGGAGGAAGTCGGGCTCCACATCAAGCCGCATCGGCGATGCGGCTTGATGTGGAGCCGACCCAATCTGCTCCGACACCCGACCCCATCTGCTCCGACCGCAGTTGGCAACTCTCGCGCGCGGTCTGCCTCCCCGCGCCCCTCGGTTTCACTGTTCGCGCGGGGCGCCGCGCGGTTCAGTTTTCTTGCTTCTGTTCGTCGGCCGCGGCTGTGGCGCCGCCATGGGGCTGCAGCGCCGATCCAGAAAATCCGCGCGGATCTCCGAAAATTGATGTCGATGCCGCTGCTTCTTCCTCGGAAGCAGGAAAAAGTGCCAGGAAGCGACGGAAACGCTCGAAAACTCGAACGGCCGCATCGAATCGGATCGAAATAGACTCGGCGGTGGACACACCTCCCTTTAGTAAACCACCCTTTAATGAAAACGGCCAAGGACCGAAACCGACGGACCTGGACCCGCAAAAATGACGGCCGCGACGCCCTCTCGCGAACCGAAAAACGGGCAGTTCGCTAATCGACGTGTCAGGGTAATTAGGAGGTCTATCAACCTCCCACTCTAGGACCACAGAGTTTTTGTGTTTATGCCATTGTTTGTTTCCCTATAGACTGCCAGCGGCGGTCCGCTACCTGCGCGGGCGCGGCGCAGGTCGCAAGGGACGCCCTGGGGACACCAAAACATTACCGATGCCGCTGCTCCCCCTTGACCTCTCCCGGGGTGCGTCCTGACTCGGATCTCGAGGCGAATTCAGCGGAGGCGACGAAGGCCTCCCAGGAGGTCCACGAAGGGGAAACCGAGGGAAGGGTGGCGCCATGCGGTACCTTTTTTCCTCCTCTGGCCTCCTCCTCCCTCCTCTAGGGCAAGTGATGTCATGATAAGGTTGGCTCAAGACACGTTTCACGATTCCCAAAGTATCTACGGTCAGAACGCAATTTTTAGAGTGCACGTCGGGATTTTCCAGCGCACTCTAAACGGCCAACTGTTTAGAGTGCACGTCGCAAAGAGGCGCACTCTATACGCGGTTGTTGAGCGTTTAGCGTGCACTTCCGATTTCTTCTTAGACAAAACTTCCGTTTCTCAACAAAAAACGTTTAGACTGTATTTCTGATTTCAGAATGTAGAATGTCGATCTGGCTCAGCAGTCCCTGGGGTTACACTCGGCCTATCGGCGCAGGCCCGATCCACCTCCTCCTCCTCCTCCTCCTCCTCCTCCTCCTCCTCCCCTCCTCCTGTCACGTGGACGTTTGACCTCCTCCTCCTCCTCCTCCTCCTCGTCCTCGTCCTTGTCCTCCTCCTACGTGCACCATCTGGACGTCACCTCTGGGAGCCCTGAACCGTCCTGCCCTCCCTGCCAGAGCTGTGGGCTGTATAACGTGCGCTTGCCTCCCGCCCCTCCTGCCCCCCCTGGGGTCGCGCTGGGCCTCCCTGAAATCCCTCTTGGGCAATCCTGGGCGCTTTGGGGACCATTTTGGCCAGTTTGGGGCAGAAATCGGGGCTATGCTGGGCTGGAGGTCTTCTGGACCTTCTTGGGGCTCCCTTGGGCCATCCTGGGCCTCTCTGGAAGCTCCGCTGGGCCTTCGTCGTGGTGCTCGGAGCCCTTGTGGGCCGTTCTGGGCTGCTCCTGGAGCCATCCCAAGCTGTCTTACAACTCTACGAGGCCCAACTGTAAGTAAAAACGTTTAGCGTGCATGTCCGCGGTCCTCATAGAAACGTATAGAGCAAACGTTCTTTTTTGGCCTAAGAAAATGGCGCCGGGAGGGAGAGATGCGTTTTGAGTGCACGGACGGTGAGTGGCACCTTGTCCCCGGAGGGGCGCCGTGCACTCCAAAAATTGCGTTCTGACAGTAGCGGCGCAGCCGGCGCGGAACAACAGGACACCCCTGGAAACCTTGGACATCCTGGAACTTGCTTCTCGGATCCTCCCCCTCCTCCTCCTGCGGCGGCAGGGCGCATGGCATGGGGCCCGACCTGCACGGCGCTTTTGGCTACTCCTGGGCCGTTTTCGTTCTGCTTCCGTCTTGCAGCCAGGGGGGCACGAAGCCAAGCCGAGGGAAGACGGAAACAAGACGACACCGAAGCACACCCTCTAGGTCGAGCTGTGGGTGCCCCTTTCCCTCGTGTGGCCACGCGCGCGCGGCGCCGGCCGCAGAGGTCGAAGAAGAACAAAAGCACATAAACAGAAGCTTTTAGCGCTCCACGCGGACTTTTTGGATCCGCGCCGGGCCCCCCTCCCTGGCGCCCGGAGCGCGCCAGGGGGGCCCAGCGCGGAGCCAAGAAATCCGCGCGGAGCGCCGAAAGTTGATGTTTATGTTTTTCGGGGATGGACAGACCTCCCTTTAGTAAAACGTGATTTAGTGACAACGACCTGAGGCCCAAACCTGGCGGGCGCAAGCCTGGAAAATAACGGGCCGCGGCGCCCTCTCGAGGACCGAAAACGGACAATTCACTCATCGACGTGTCACTGTTGGGGGGTTCTGTCCGCCCTCGCGTTTTTTTTTCTTCTTCGAAGGGGCGCGGGGGGCCTGGCCTGCGACCGCAGGGGGTCTTCCTCCTCCTCCTCCTCCTCGGGCTCGTCCTCGCCCGAGGGGGGCGGCTGGCCCGGGCCCGTCCCCACCCGCTCCTCGGCGCTCCTCGTCGGCCCCTCCTCGAGCCTCCTCGGCCATCCTGGATCCTGCTCGACCCTCCTTCTCGATGTTTCTCCTCGACCCCTCTACTCGACCCTCCTCGACCCCCCTCAGCCCTCCCCGAAACTTTCTCGATCCTCCTTCTCCTCCTCCTTCTCCTCCTCTTTCTCCTCCTCCTCGACCCTCGTCTACCCTCCTGCCTGCTCCCCGTCCCCCTCCTCCTTTTTGACGTTGCGCCAACTTGAATCCTCGGATTGTAGCGTTCAAACCCTCATCCTCCTCCTCCTCCTCCTCCTCCTCCTCCCTCCTCAGTGGGGGAACCAAAATGTACTGATACCGCCACTCCCTGGACCTTTCCTGGGGTGCGTTCTGAACAGAATTTCAAGGCGAGTCCAGCGGTGGCGACGAGGACCTCAAGGAGGCCCAAGAAAGGGAAAACGGGGGAAGGGTAGAGGTATGGGTATCTTGGTCCCTCCCCTGGCCTACTACTCCTCCCCCTCCTTCTCCCTCCTCTAGGGCGCGAACGATGTCATGATAAGATTGGCTCAAAATACGCTCCAAGATTTCCAGAGTATCTAGCAGCGCAGCCAGTGCGGAACATCAGGACATACAGTCAACCCGTATAATAAGGCCGCACGATAAGGATGTAAGGGCCTTGGAAGGCCATGCCGACACTCTGCGAGCGGGGCACGGCCATCGAAATTGGTCAAGGATGGGCCGAAGGGGAAGGATGCCAGGGTACCCTTGTTGCTCATCCTTGCTATGCGGGTTGACTGCACTCATCCTGGAAGCCCTGGAAGTCCTGGAACGCATCACTGTCATGACCTCTCGCTCCTCTGACCCTCCCCCCGGTCATGACCTGGGCCGTGTGCCGTGCAGGGCGGGCACGTGTGCCGTGTGCCGTGCAGGGCGGGCACGCGGCTCGGGGGAGGCGGGGGCACAGATCCTCCCTCCTCCCTCCTCCCTCCTCCCTCCTTACTCCCTCCTCCCTCACCTCCCTCCTCCTCCTCCTCCTCCCTCCTCCTCCTCCTCCTCCTCCCTCCTCCTCCTCCCTCCTCCCTCCCTCCTCCCTCCTCCTCCTCCTCCTCCTCCTCCTCCTCCCTCCTCCCTACTCCCTCCTCCCTACTCCCTCCTCCTCCCTCCTCCCTCCCCCCCTCCTCCGGCGGCGGCAGGGAGCACGGTCTCTTCCAGCGCGCCGCTCCGCCGAGCCGCCGCCGCTCGCTCCGCCGGCGCGGCCGCGGGCGCGGCTGCTCGAGCGGCTGGCGCTGCTGCTGCGGCTGCTGGAGCTGCTCTCGGACAGTCGGCGACACGCAAGAGTGGCCCCAGGCGAGCGTCAGGCGTGGCGCTTAGCCAGCCAGGCTTCCGACGACCGAACGTGCTGCACCATCTCTTCCCTCTCAGACGCCGATGCATGGCACGGCCACGATGCAATGCACCACAGCTCGAGCACACGACGACGTGCGTGCCCACGAGATGCCTCGTGCCCAGCGGTGAGAGGCTGCTGGGTGAAGTGCCGCCACTGCTGTTGGGCTAAACACACCTGGAACGACCCACATGACGGAACAGTTGTTGGAGGCCTAGAAATGGGCACCAACACCAACACAGGGGGTTGCCTCCACATGGTGAGGATGATCCTAGACTTCGGTGTTGGTGGCAATATTCTGGTCACCTCGGAAGCCAGAATATTACCACCATCACCGAGATCGGGATCGCCTTCCCTCGGTGGAGGCACACCGCCGATCTAGGTGTTGGTGTCCACCTCTAGGCCTGCGAAGTTGAGCGCGACCCTCGGTCACGCTTGAAGCGCGACCCTCGTTGCGCGGCCTTCGGGCGGCGCAGGGGGAGGCCCGGCCCCCCGCGCGCAAGCAGGCCGCTGCCACCGCGCCGCCCTCTCGGCCACCCCGGGGGGCCCATAGCGTGTGCCCGCACCACATGCCCCGCCGGCGGCAGGCCACTCTTGCGTGTCGCCGAGGCGGGAGGGCGCCAAGCACGGCGAGGCCAGGAGGAGGAGGAGGGGGAGGAGGAGGAGGAGGAGGAGGAGGAGGAGGAGGAGGAGGAGGAGGAGGAAGAGGGGGAGGAGTAGGAGTAGGAGTAGGAGTAGGAGTAGGAGTAGGAGTAGGAGTAGGACTAGGAGTAGGAGGGGAGACGACCGTAGAGAGGGAAGGAGGAGGAGGACGAGGAGGAGGGAAGGGAGGAGGGGAGGGAGAAGGGGCGGGAGGGACCATCGCGTCGAACGTCGAATCCACGTCGAGTCCATGTCGAACGTCGACCGTCTTGGCGTCCGTGCCGCAAGTTGCACCTTCGGGAGGCTTCGCCTGCCCCACCGCGCTGCTGTCCGCATCGAGCCCGTGTCGAGTCCACGTCGTCGACTCCGGGCCCTTTAGGGGCCTTCTCTGGGAGGAGGAGGAGGAGGAGGAGGAGGAGGAGGAGGAGGAGGAGGAGGAGGAGGAGGAGGAGGAGGAAGAGGAGGAAGAGGAGGAGGAGGGAGGGGGGGCTGGACGACTGCTGCGGCAAAAACCTACCCGTCTGAGCTCTGTCGTTTCCTGGCCCAGAGCATGTTTGAGGCTGTTCAGGGGCAACTTCGGACTTCAACTGGACCGCCTCCTTGGACCTCGGGGAAGATTTTGAGCCCTTCTTCGTTCCTCTGGATCCTTTTTGTCTGTTCCAGAGGGGTCGTGACTTTGCTCGGGTGACACCTACCTCCTAAGCCGACAAATGAAACGGTGTGCGCGGCACCTACTCTCGCAGTACCCTAGGGGGAATGGTTTTGCTTGACTGTTTTTCGCGCTGGAAGTGTGCGCGGCACTTTAACTTGCAGTAATCAGTGGAAGGTATGTTTTTCTCTCCATAGGTTCCTCAGGACTTTGGAGTAGTACCCTGGTGAATGGCCAGCCGCCAGCAGACGTCAGGTGTGCGTTGGCCTCTCCTCCTCCTCCTCCTCTTCCTCCTCCTCCTCCTCCTCCTCCTCCTCGTCCTAAGTGCGTATTGGCCGGCTCTTCGCGGCGAATCCGGCCGTAGCGACGAGGGCGAGGCAGAAGGAGGAGAAAGATGAGGAGGAGGAGGAGGAGGAGGAGGAGGAGGAGGAGGAGGAGGAGGAGGAGGAGGAGGAGGGCACCCTTCGCTCCTCCGAGGGCCGTTGTGCCCGTGGCGCCCCTCCCGAGGATTCGGAGCTGTCGCGGGGCAGGCCATGCCCGCGGCGAAGCCACGCCCAGGAGCCGCCCGCAGCCACCTCCACGACGGCGAGCTCGGCGTTCCCGAAGCGCCGCCCGCGGCCGAACTGCTGCCTCCAGATCTCCTCCGAGCGGCAAGGGGCGCTTGCATGCACCCCCGAGCTGCCAGGATCTGCCCCGGGGAACTCGCCATCGCTCGGACGACCCTTCCCAGTGCATTCTTCGGTCTCGTGCGCGTCTTCTTTGTGTGCTTGGTTTGCTCGATGCTCCAGGATGCTCCTGGATGGTCCTCGCCGAGACAAAATGCACGCCTCCGAGCGATGCCAGGGGAAGAGTCCCAGACGCTCTCGCGTCGTGGACAGAATCGCGACGCGGCCTTTCTGCCGCCGTGCCTTCGACCCCATCCGGGGCCCTCGCCCAGCCATCGGGACCGTCAACACAAGCGACTCGGGGTGAAAGGCCGGCCCTGGGGAAGGGGGCGGGACTTCTGGGGGCACCGCACGGAAGCACAAAACACATGATCTCTCGGATGTCTGGGGCACCACCCCCAGCGTTCCAGGGGCTGGTCCAGACCTCCAAGTGTCCGAGGACGAGAACGACAGGAGGAGGAGGAGGAGGAGGAGGAGGAGGAGGAGGAGGAGGAGAGGAGGAGGAGGAGGAGGAGGAGGAGGAGGAGGGAGGAGGAGGAGGAAGGAGGAGGAGAAGAAGGATGAGGAGGAGTGGAGGAGGAGGAGGAGTGGAGGAGGAGGAGGAGGAGGAGGAGGAGGAGGAGGAGGAGGAGGAGGAGGTGTGTGTAACACTGCTCAGGACGAGAAACGTGTCCGAGAGAGACAGAGAGAGAGAGAGGGCCGAGAGGCCTGGAGCCTTGAGAAAATCGAGAACAGCGGATCGTCGGAGACCTGGGTGCTCCAAGATCTGCCCGGGGGACGAGCGCCAACCCCGACGGTGGCTGTGCGACACACGCGCAGCAGGACCAGCCATCCTCGCATCGGGCGATCGGCGATCGGATCGAGACGGAAGGGCCGTCGGATCTCTTGCTGCATCGGCACGGGATCGAACTCGAGAGCCGAATCGGCCGATCCAGCGCTCGAAGCAGCGCCATGCATACCTCGGGTCGCATGGGACCGTCGGAATACACATCGGAAGCGAGCTGGATCGGGCCGGCCAGAGTCAACATCGAATCGGATCGATCGGATCGAGATGGACTGTGATTTCTGCTCTACGGCCGTAACGAATGTCTCTGGCGGCCGTTCGGGACGATTCGGATACCCCTGGAACGCTCTCGGCGAGGCGCAGCTGCAGGAACGCATCCCGAGGCAAGAACGTCCTCAGGAACACAGGAAGACGTCGGAGGCCTCGGACGATCGGATCGAATGGGATCGACATGCGCTTCTGGAGGAAGATAACATGGCATAAACAAAACTTCGTGAGGTCCGCGCGGATTTCTTCGATCTGCGCTGGGCCCCCCTCCCTGGCGCGCGGAACGCGCCAGGGGGGGCGCCGGAGGCGCCGCCAGGGGGTGCCCAGGCGCCGAGCCAAGAAATCCGCGCGGACCGTCGAACATTTACGTCGACGTTTATGCTGTTTTTCTCCTTCGAGTGAGGGCCAACCATAGGGGGAGATAGGAATAGGGGCTAAACATCGACCTGGAATCGGCGATACATCGCCGATAGATCGGCGATGGGCCTCCGATAGCGAATCCGCACCTTCCTGGGCAGGTTGTGGCTATCGGGCCCCTATCGGCGATCAATGGGCGATTGGGGGTCGATGCATCCCCCCCTGTGCCTATCCCCCCATATCGCTGCCCCCGATCGAGCTTCCGGGTCCTCCAACACCCAGCAGTGCGCGAACACGGCCACGTGCGCGTGCCGAGCCGCGAGGTCAGTGAGGTGGCGGACGAGGCGGCCGACGCGCGCGCGGAAGTCGGCGCGCGGCTCCTCCGCGCAGACGGCAGCTGGGCACCGCCACCGCGGGAACAAGCAACAACAACAAAACAGTTAAGAAAAACACCTGAACTGGATCGACTTGCGAATCTCAGACATGCTCGCGCCGTGAACAACAGCACGACGGAACCTCTTTGCCAATCCTCGGCCTCCGAGGGCCCTCGCTGGGACCGGTGTCCTGAGCCCTGCCCGAGGACACGGAAGCCTTCTCGGAGAGCCGGAGACCTTCTGAGAAGCCCCGCCGCCTTCTGAGGAGGCCTTCTCCCTCTCACTTCCCCCCTCGCTCGCCGCCGATCGGCGGTGGACAAACCTCCTTTTAGTAAACCTCCCTTTAGTGAAAACGGCCCGGGACCGAAACCGACGGACCTGGACCCGCAAAAATGACGGCCGCGACGCCCTCTCGCGAACCGAAAACGGCCAATTCCTGAATCGACGTTTCAGGGTAGGAGGTCTATCCACCTCCGAGCCGAATCTGGTTCTGGGGTCATTAACTCGGGTGTCTGGCGCCCGCTCGGGACGATCCGGGCACTCTGGGAACGCCCACGGCGAGGCGCAGCTGCTGGCAGGCATCCGCGACGAGAGCGTCTGAACGCCTCGAACCTCGAACCTCGAATTATGTTGCTCCCATCGTACTTATGGACCACATTCCAGAAATGATCTCGTGCCGAGCGAGCACCGCCTCCAAGGGCCCGACACGTGAAGATCCTGAAGTTTCGGTGCTTTCTGGGTGCTCGGAATTCTTTCTGGAGATCAAAGCTAGAATTTCCACGAGAACTAAACAAATACACCAAAAATACCCCGACAAACAAAAATACCCGCTGTAGGGGGACAGGCCCGACTTAAACCTAGAAGATTCGTTGGAACATCATGGGCCTCGAGCCCGAAACTTCCACCGCGGCTCCTCGTAGCCGGCCTGGGCCCAGCGGGCCCGGCAGGCCTCCGCGTCGCCCGAGCCCGCGACGGCGGGGCTGCTCCACCACCAGGCGCGGCCGTCCGCGGGCAGCCGCGAGAAGTCCACCGAGGGGAAGAGCCCGCGCAGCCGAGGCGCGGCGGTGCCGAGGTCGTCGCTCTCGACCTGGCCAGGCTCGAGCTGCTCCCCGTCCCTGAGCTCCTCCTCCTCCTCCTCCTCCTCCTCCTCCTCCTCCTCCTCCTCCTCCTCCCCCTCCTCCTCCTCCTCCACTCCTCCTCCCCTTCCTCCTCCTCCTCCTCCTCCACCCTCCACCCTCCTCTCCTCCTCCTCCTCGTCCTCGTCCTCCTCCTCCTCCTCCTCCTCCTCCTCCTCCTCCTCCTCCTCCTTCCTCCTCCTCCTCCCCCCTCCTCCCCCTCCCCCTCCTCCTCCTCCTCCTCCTCCTCCTCCTCCTCCGCCTCCTCCTCCTCCTCCTCCTCCTCCCCCTCCTCCCCCTCCTCCCCCTCCTCCCCCTCCTCCTCCTCGAACCTCGAACTCGCGCGCAAGTCCTTCCCGCGACGTGGCGGCGCCCCATGACCCCCAAAATCTGCACGCTCGCGCCCAAACTGACGACTGCAAGCACGAGCCTCGGACCCCGCGCGCCGCGCTTCGCGCGTCCATCGGCAGCAACAGACTTGCGCATGACTTCGAGGAGGGCTGCGGGATCGACGGGCCCAAGGCGACGGCAATCTCAGGGCCGTGCCCGCAAGAAAGGGGGTCTGGGGTCAAGCCTGTGTGCAGCAGGAGCTCGACCGCACGGAGCCTTCCACAAGACGCCCAACCCCGAGAGCCCGGGACGTCCGTCGACTTTCTGGTGTGGTGACGCCATGCTCTCCGTGGCAAAACCCTCGAGACCCAAGAAACCCAGGGCACCCTGGAGGCAGGCAGGGTGCTTCTCGGCATGGGCCTCCCCTGTATGTGCTCGCGCGAGGGGACGGCCGCTGGGGGGCCCAGGCGGGCGTGACAGCCGGCAGGCGCCCGTGTGTCAGTTCGCGGAGGAGGAGGAGGAGGAGGAGGAGGAGGAGGAGGAGGAGGAGGAGGAGGAGGAGGAGGAGGAGGAGGAGGAGGAGGAGGAGGAGGAGGACGAGGAGGAGGAGGAGGAGGAGGAGGAGGAGGAGGAGGAGGAGGAGGAGGAGGAGGAGGAAGAAGGCGAGGAGGGCGAGGAGACAGGGCGCGTGGGCAAGGCATCACTCCCACGCAGAAGCCAATGGAAAATCCCCCAAAATCGGCACCGAGATGCCAATCGTAGGGGGCGCGGATCAATGGGGGGGGCTGCGACAACATCGGGGGGCCGCGAGGGCACCTTCCGCCCCCCCCTCCAATTGTTACCCCCCGTTAATCCGTGCCCAATCGCAGGTCGGGGATCTACCTGACCCGGGTCAATCCAGACCCGGGTCAGTCGGGCCTTGCAGAATCCTGCAAGATCCTGCGCCCAAGCCCGGGTCAGCGAAGCCCTGGCTCTGCAGGATCCTGCACGGTCTGGCGCTCTGACTGAGCCTTGTTTTCGTTGACCCCCCGTCTCTCGAGCCCCGAGCCGAGGAGGAGGAGGGGGAGGAGGAGGAGGAAGAGGAGGAGGAGGAGGAAGAGGCGGAGGAGGAGGCGGAGGAGGAGGAGGCGGAGGGGGAGGAGGAGGCGGAGGAGGAGCTCTGGGCTGGCAGCGACCAGCCGCTCGGCCGCGTCCGGCAGCGCCACGACGGCTGGCGGCGCGCACGACCGGGCAGGCGCGGCGGGAGGCCCTTCTTCGGAGGGGCGACGGTCAAATCTGGGCCTTGCGCGAGATGGCACAGCGACCTCACGCGGTGGCTTGCGCGGGCCGTCCGCGCGGTACGCTGCATTGGAAACGAGGGCGCTCACGCGCGAGCTTATGCGGGCAGCTCACAGTAGGAGCTCGACCACAAGAAACCTTCCACAAGAAACCCCACCCCGAGACCCCAGGACGTCCGTCGGTGTTTGGTGTGGTAACGTCACGCTTTCCATGGCAAAAACCATCGAAACCCAAGAAACCCAGGGCACCCTGGAGGCAAGCAGGGTGTTTCTCGGCATGGGCTTCCACTGTACGCGCGAACTTGCGCGGGCAGCTTACGCGCCAATGTCGGCGCAGGCGACCCAGATTTTTCGGGGAGACGTAAGACTCGGGTTCGGGGGACTCGGTTTTGGCCTGGCGGGGCCGTCAATTAAAATGACGAGACCCAATCTGAAAAATTGACGCGAGCTCTCGCTGCAGACATCCCACGAAAACGGGGCCGTCAAAATCCAGGACGCGCTCGCCAAAAAGCGTCGGCAAGCCCGAGTTTCGGCGTACTTGAGTCTTACGTTTCCCCGAACGTGGGCCCCTGGATGCCTCCTCCTCCTCCTCCTCCTCCTCCTCCTCCTGCTCCTCCTCCTGCTCCTCCTCCTCCTCCTCCTCCTCCTCCTCCTCCTGCTCCCCCTGCCCATCCTGCTCCACCCCTTCCCCAGGGCTGGCTCACCATCCCGAATGTTCTTCTGACGGTGCCGGGGCCCTGCGAGGGCCCCCCGGGGGCCGACAGCGGCCAAGATCCTCCCGTCGTGTTTTTCTCGCGACTGAGAATCGGAGGTCGGAGGATCGCGCCGCATCGCCGATGCATGGGCGACGTCGGCATGGAGAAGATCGGGATCCACATCCAGCCGCATCGCCGATGCACCGGCGATGCGGCGCGATCCTCAGACCCAATCTGCTCCGACCCCATGTGGGAGGAACGGCGCGAGCACTGAGGGGCAACGATAGCGGGGGGACTGGCATGGTGGGAGACACATCGACCTGGAATCGGCGACGCATCGCCGATAGATCGCCGATCAGGCCCCGAGAATGAATCCGCACATTCCTGGGCAAGCTGGGACTACAGGGCCCCTATCGGCGATCAATGGGCGATTGGGGGTCCAGGCGTCTCCCCCTACGTATGCCTATTCCGTGGGTTCGTGTCGTGTCGAACCCGGCGTTGGTTCCTGACACCGCAGGGATCGTTCAGCCTTGAACGAGCGGACGTTTCCGAAACGTCAGATCCCTCAACCTAGATCGATCCTGGGTCGCCGGCGACGTGCAACGTTGAACGCCGGCGGCGGGGTCGCCGCTTGTGGATACGCTACTCGCAAATGGCCTGGATCCGCCGCGGGGAGCTTACGATCCATCACGTCGAAGCAGCACGACTTTGTCGGGCGCTTGCGAGCAGGCACTTTGCGAGCAGTGGCACGCGCTCGGCGACCATCGTTGCCCCTGCAGCATGTCTAGGGGCCTCCTAGATGGGTCGGAATAGATGGGGACGGCGGAGATCGCGCCGCATCGGCGATGCATCGGCGATGCATCGGCGATGCATCGGCGATGCACCAACGATGCATCTTCGGCGTGGGCGAGGCATCGGCGACGTCGACGAGAAGCAAATCGGGCTCCACATCGAGCCGCATTGCCGATACATCGGCGATGCGGCGCGATCCTCCGACCCCATCTCTACTCTGACCCCGTCCATAGGAGGCCTAGACTGTCTGGGCCCCCGTGCGCGCCCCCAGGACGGGGCAGCGCGGCGGCGCCGCGCAGGGGAACGCCTCGAGGCAGGCACCCTCTGCTACTCGCAGAGTAGCTGCTCGCAAATGGCCTGGATCCGTTGCGCCGAGGCAAAAAAATTGGACGCCCGAAATGGGTACGGAAAAAATGGGTACAATGCCCAACACCACCTGTTGTCCCAAACCAACAGCGGCCGCCGTTGGGCAGGCGGCCTTCTGTCTCAAATAGACACAGGCCGCGGCGGCGCGGACAGCGAGTCCTGTTCAAAATGAGCAGGAACTCCCGTTGGGCATTGTACCCGTTCTTTCCGTACCCATGTCGGCCGTCCCGAAGAAAGGCTCTCCGTTGCGTGGCACGGCACTTGTCTTTTTTTCCTTGGGACGCTTGCGAGGAGGCACTCTGCGAGCAGTGGAGCTCGCTCGGTGGGCCTCGAGGCAAGTGCGTGGCCCCAGGCCGCCGCCCAGCGCCACCGCGGCGCCTGTGACGGTGCAGGCCGTGCCGGCGCCGAGCGGCCGCTCGGCGCCCTGCAGCCGCACGGCCCGGGCGAGGCGCACCTCCGCGCCGGGCCCGAGGCCCCCCTCCAGCGGCTCGAGGCTGCGGCGGCGACGGCAGGGGCGGAGAGCCCCACTGGCCGCCGCTCGGAGGGTCCCTTCCCCGCGCGCTCTGCGGCCTCGCGTGCGCCCGGAGGGGGGAGGCGGAGGAGGAGGAGGAGGAGGAGGAGGAGGAGGAGGAGGAGGAGAGAGAGGAGAGAGGAGGAGGAGGAGGAGGAGGAGGAGGTAGGAGAGGAGGAGGAGGAGGAGGAGGAGGAGGAGGAGGAGGAGGAGGAGGAGAGGAGGAGTGAGGAGGAGGAGGAGGAGGAGGAGGAGGAGGAAGGAGGAGGAGGGAGGAGGAGGAGGAGGAGGAGGAGGAGGAGGAGGAGGAGGAGGAGTAGGAGGAGAGGAGGAGGAGGGAGGGAGGAGGAGGAGGAGGAGGAGGAGGAGGAGGAGGAGGAGGGAGGCACTTTCGGCGCGAGGCAGCTTCGCCAGGCAAGAGCCTGGAGGCCCGCTACGCTCCGCCGCCCTCGCCGCCGCCCCTCGGGGCCTCCAGGCCGACGCGGCAAGGAGTGCTGGGCGTCGGCGCGGACGCCCCAGCCCTGCACGTACACCCCCCCCAATTCTTCCCCCTGTACGCTCGGCCCCGTGTTGTTCTTGTCCGCCCGAGGATCCAGGGTGCTCCTCGAGGTGGTCCTCGCCGAGGGGAAGCAAAATGCACGCGTCCAAGCGATGCCCAAGGCCCCGTGCGCTCTTCGGCCTCGTGAGCGTTTCCTCTTTCCGGCGCTTCGACGTTGGGCTGAAAGGAAGGGGGGGGGAAGGGGGAGGGGTCTGGCTCTGGACCTCTGCTCAATGCCACTGTTTGCGACAGTGCGTCCTGTGGGAGAGACCCCGCCTGCTCGAAACAGGCGCCCCAAACAGCCAAGATCTACTCCAGGTGGGAGGGGAAGGGGGGGTGCGAGGGCCCGCGCCGATCGGCAAAACGCGGAATAGAAAACGATTCGTGTGCGTGCTGTTTTTCTTGCTCGACGATCCAGGATGCTCCTCGAGATGGTCCTCGCCGAGGGAAAACATGCACACGTCCGAACGGTGCCCAAGGCCCCAGAGCGGGCGTCATATGCCAAGGCCCCAGGGCGGGCGTCATACATGTTCGCCAGGGAGCCTCGCCGAAGGCACGCACCAGCGCCCCAGGATGCGCGTGCTGCTCCCCCCTGGGCTCTTCGCCCACTGTCGTTGCCTCCGAGAAGTCACCTGGGTGCGCGTCGAAGCGCAGACGACGCTCGCGCGCCAGCAGGGTCACCTCCACGCTCACCACCTGGAAGAAGAGGCGTCTGCACAGACATGAGCTTCCAGAGGTCCGTGCGGATTCCTCGGATCGGCGCTGGCCCCCCCCCCCCATGGCGCGCGCAGCGCGCCAGGGGCGGCGCCAGGGTCGGTGCCGCCAGGGGGGCCCAGCGCCGATGCAAGAGATCCGCGCGGACCTCCGAGAGTTTATGCTTGTGCGAACCCTTCTCCCTCGGCCACCGTCGCGCGCCCCTCTTCGACGGCGGCCTCGCAGCCCGGCGCCAGCGGCGCCCAGTCGCCTAGCGCCACCAGCGCCGTCTGCAACGCCCGCCGCAGCGGCGACGACACGCAGAGCTCTAGCGGCACATGACGCAGTCGGCCCCGCAGCTTAGCCGCCTGTCGCAGGCCTATCTTGTGCAGCGGGGCGTCCCAAATGAGCGGGCGCTCCTCCTGACTCTCGTTGTGCGTCGAGCGGCCATGGCGTACGAAATATAGGCGGGGCCGGGACTGCATGACCCAGCACCTCAATCGAGCACGCTCGAGCAGAGAGAGAGGTAGATCACAGCAGCCGAGTCCGAGGCGCGCTGGCTCTCTGTGAGAGCCCCCCCCCCGCCGCTGTCGGCAACCGTCCGCCTCCGTGGCCAACTCGGGCGACCACTCGCGACTTGCGAGCAAGAGCCCCAAGGACCCCACCCGAAGATCGCGACGATGACCCTCCTGGCGGGCCGCACAGGCCAAGGGTGGGAGGCCCGAGATCCCGCTGTACATCTCAATTTCAGGCCTGGCAGCTGGCACCAACGCCAACACAGTGGGGTTGCCTCCACTAGAGGACGATGGTCCTAGATTTTGGCGCTGGTGGTGATGCTTCAGCCGCATGGGACGCTCGAGTATTGGCCACCACCGCCGAGATCGGGGCCGCCTGCCCTCGGTGCTGATGCCAACCTCTGGGCCTCAGACAGACCAGACAACTCCAGCAACTTGGCACGCGTCGACGCCCGAGGACCTCTGGAAAAGGGAGGGCCGCCCACGCGCTCCGAGACCGTCCTCGCCGTCGGCCGCTGACCGTCGTCGGCGCCGCCGCCGTGCCCGTCGGCGGCCACGGCCGTCGGCCGCCGTCGCCCGTCCTCGCCGCCGACCGTCCTCCCTCGTCGGCGTCCCCGCCCGCCGCCGCTGGCGGCGGTTCGCCGCAGGGGCGCGGGCGCCGCGGCGGGCGAGGCAGCCCAGGGAAGCTGGCGGCGCGCACGGGGGGGGGAGCGGGGGCAGGGGGGGGGGGGCAGGCTTCTTGGAAGCACCCTGCTCCTCGAAGGCGCGGGCCCTGCCTCTGCAGAGAAGGCCCGCGCCTTCCAGGAGGCAGGGGGGTGCTTCTAAGAAGCCCCCCCCCGCCCCCTACCCTTCGGTCGGGCGTGTCCCTCTGCAGGAGGAATACCCAAAAGTAGTCAAACAAGAAAGTCAGGGGACGATTTTCGGAGTATTTTTGAATATTTTAATGTTTCCTCCAAAATCCGCCTGTAGGGGGACATGCCCGACCTAACTCGGGGGTGGACAGACCCCCTTGAGTAAAACGTGGTTCAGTGAAAACGACCTCGGGCCCAAACCTGGCGGGCGCAAGCCTGGAAAATGACGGCATCGGCGCCCTCTCGAGAACCGCAAACGGACAATTCACTAATCGCCGTGGGAGGGGGATGGGGGAGGGGGAGGAGGAGGGGAGGATGGGGGAGGGTAAGGGTAAAGGTGATGTGAGGGTGAGGGTCAAGCTAGCCAGCTCGGGAGCGAGTCAGCCCCATATGCCATCCCACCCGCCCTCCCACAACATAAGAAAGTGCGGGTGAGGGTGAGGGTGAGGAGGAGGAGGGGGAGGAGGAGGAGGAGGGGAGGAGGAGGAGGAGGTCAGGGTGGGGGTCTGTCCACCCCCGACCTGGCCCTGCGGCCCTCTGCGCGCGGCCGACCGCCGCTTCCGCCGCGCCGGGCCGCGGGCGCCGCGGCGGCAATGGGGCAGGCCGCGCCAAGGCGCCCGCGGGCTCGGCGTGGCCGCCGCGGCGCCCCGCCGCGGCCCCGCATGCACGCCGCGGCGGCCCGCGGCTCCCCTCGGCGGTGCACAAACCTCCCCTCGCCATCGCTCGGACGTCCACTTCCCGTGCATTTTTCGGTTTCGTGCGTGTTTTTTTTGCTCGATGGTCCAGGATGGTCCTGGATGGTCCTCGCCGAGGAAAAACAGCACAAGTCCGAGCGATGCCAGGTCCCTGTAGTAAACCACCCTGCAATGAAAACGGCCTAGGACCGAGACCGACGGACCTGGACCCGCAAGAGTGGCGGCCGCGACGCCCTCCCGCGAACCGAAAACGGCCAATCCGATCGACGTGTCGGGGTAGGAGGACTATCAACCTCCGATCCTCCTTCACTTGAGTCGGGCATGTGCCTCTACAGGAGGATCTTCAAACATTGTCAAAACACAGCCTGGGGTCGATCTTTTGACTATTCTAGACTGCTTCTGAGTGACACCAGAGAAAAAACCCAATCATAATCTTTTTAGGGCTGTAGGGCTATAGGGCTACAGGGCTATATGGGCTCTTGGGCGATATATGTATGGGCTATATGGCTATATGGCTATGTGGATTATAGGGCTATAGGGCGATAAGACGGAAATAGGGCTATAAGGCTATAGGGCTACAAAGCACTGGGCATCCGGGCACCCAGCACCTGGGCACCCACCCGGGCACCGGGCACCCGTCTCCCGGGCACCCGGGCACCCAAGCATCCGGGCACCCGGGCCCTGTCACCGAATCGGCGGCGAACCCGGGCACCCAGGCACCCGGGCACCCAAGCCCGGCCACCGAATCGGCGGCGAACCCGGGCACCCGGGCACCCGGGCACCGAATCGGCGGCAAACCTCACCTACCCGTAAATCCGCGAGGACCCCTACAGAGGCAAGCTCTGATTGGGGAATATTCCTGACTCTTTAAAACTTTCCCTCCAAAATCCGCCTGTCGGGAGACGTAAGACTCGTGTGCGTGGGACTCGGAATTCGCCTGACGGGGCCATCGTGAAAATGACGAGGCCCCATCGGAAATTTGACGGGAACTCCCGCTGCAGACATCCCACGAACATTGTACCGTCAAAATCCAAGACGCGCTCGTCAAAAAGCGTCGGCAAACCCGAGTTCTGGCTTACTCGAGTCTGACGTGTCCCCGTTTTTTTTGCGTCGCTCAAAAGAAGGAGAACACATGCCATAAACATTAAGTTATGGCGCTCCGCGAGGGCTTCTTGGATCTGCGCCAAGCCCCCCTTCCCTGACGCGCGGAGCGCGCCAGGGGTGGCGCCGGAGGCGCCGCCGGGGGGGGGGGGGGGGGGGGGGGGGGGGGGGGGGGGGGCCAGCGCGGATCCAAGAAAGCCGCGCGGAGCGCCAAAAGCTTGTGCTTACGGCGCTTCTCTTTCGTCTTCGACCGCGGGAGGGAGGCCTTTGGGGCCGTCTTGGAGGCCTCTGGGGGGCCTCTTGGGCCGTCTTGGGCCGTCTTGGACTCTCTTGGGCCGTCTTGGAGGCCCTCTCTCTTGGGCCGTCTTGGAGGCCCTCTTGGACCATCTTGGGCGAATGTGGAGGCCATCTTGGACCATCTTGGAGGCCATCTTGGGCCAACAGAGGGGCCTTCGGAGAGGCCCGGGCCGCGGGGGCCATGCCCGGCCCAACCCTTGGGCGCGCCGAGGCGTGCCCCCGGCGAGAGCTCTGCGCCCGCCCGGCTGCGGGGGCCCGCCGCCTGGCCGCCGCCGCGGCGGCCAGGCTCGGGTCGCCTTCGGTGTGACTCCCTATGGGGCTGCGAAGCGTGCGAGGGGCGTGCCGACACGGGGCGGCTGCGCCATGCGAGCTTCGTCTGTCAACGGGCGAAGAACGGTATAAACAAACTTTCTCGCCGTCGGGGACACCTGCCCCAGGGCGGCTGGAAAGTTTATACCCTTACGGTGGCACCGTAGGGGTATAAACTTTCCAGCCGCCCAGGGGCAGGTGTCCCCGACGGCGGAACATTTATTTTGTACCGTTCTTCGCTCGCTGAGTCTGGGGCTTCAGGTGGGGGCCCCTGTAGAACCACGAAGCGCGTGAGGGGTGTGCCGGCGGCGCCATGCAAGCTTTCCCACTGGGGGCATGTCGGCCATACAGGCGGGTTTTGGAGGAAAGCTGGGATTTTTTCAAAAAACCATAAGAATTTGCCAAACATATAGGGGAACGGGCAGTGACGTAAACATAACAGCTCGGAGGTCCGCGCGGATTTCTTGGAGCGGCGCCGGAGGCGCCGCCATGGCTTAGGTCGGCCAGGCTTAGGTCGGGCATGTCGTCCATACAGGCGTATTTTGGAGGAAAAATGAAAAATAAGCAAGACATCTTCGAACATAGTCAAACATTGTCAAACAATCGTCCCCAAACTTTTTTTGACTATCTTTGAATCTACCTCCTGTAGAGGGACACGCCCGACTTGCGCTCAGGTCGGGTATGTCCCCCGTACGGGCGGATTTTGGAGGAACAAACCAAAAAGAGTCAACACACCTTCAAACATAGTCACCGTAGTCCCCAGTTTTTTTGTTTTTGTTCTTAAGTGCCTTTTCTGGATACTCCTCCTGTAGAGGGACATGCCGGACTTCAGGCCAAGCCCGGACGACCACGCCCGCGCGGGCGACCTCCGCCTCCTCGGCCGCGTGCGCCCTGCCAGCTCCGATCGGCCCGCGCGCAGCCCCCCCCGGCTCCGCGCCACCCGAGGTGCGGCCCGCGAGCTCTTGCGGCAGCGCCCGGGGCACGCCGCGCGGATCCGCCGTCGGGCTCCGTCCGGGCTGGCGCCCTGGCGTGCTCCTTAGTCGGGTCGGGCGAAAGGGGGGGATAGCAAAGGGGGGGGGGTGAGAATCGGCTCACGTCGCTGATCTCCCGGCGCCTCCCGGCGCCAGAGAGGCGACTGTGTGTCGAGGAATGGGCCCCTCGGTGAGGCCGAAACCAGCTGCATGCAGCAGATTTCCTAACCCCCCCCTTTCCCAATCCCCCCTCCTTTCGTCCGGCCCGACTTGAGAGGAGCGTGCGAACGGCATGCGCCCTGAGTCTCGGAGGTCCGCGCGGGCTTCTCGGGCCGGTGCCGGGGCGGCGCCGCCAGGGCGCCGCCAAAGGGGGGGGGCGCGCAGCCCCCGGCCCGACCCACGAAGCCCCGCGCGGAGCTGCGACGCGGCCCGCTCGCTGCCGCTGCCTGTTCTTCGGCTCTCCGCGGCCAGGCCCATGGCTGCGCACGCGCACGCGAGGAGGGCGCACGGCTCGGCGTGGAGCCGACGGGCCCCGAGGGAAGGGGGTCCCGGGCCCTGGGCCTGCCCCAGGGACGAGCTCTTCCTCGTGGGCGCCCCCTCCGAGCCCGAGGCCGGCCAAGGAGCCTCAGGACCCGTTCCCCTCAGGGCCCCTCTTCTTCCTTCCGGGGGCAGCCAAGAGGGGGGGGCTGGGGTTCGCACTGAAATCAGAAGAGGCGCCATCACTCGGGCATTGGCAGAACTCGGCTTCGTGGGACCTGGTTTAGTGATGTGTGCTGGGGGACGCCCCCCCCGCCCCGTTCCACTGACCAGAACTGCCGTCACCAGAAAAACATCAGCTACGGCAGACCTGGTTCAATGACCCTGGCCAATCTAAAGGCTCCAGGGCCCTACCACTAACCCGGTCCCCTTGCCTGGGGTCCTGGCTGTACCCGCATCAAACCCGGGGCGATATCGTCGCCCCCGCCAGCATACCCACCCCCCCCCTCCTCACCCCCCCCCTCTGTGCCGCCCCCGTCCTCCCTGGCGCGCGGGGCACGCCGAGCCGCCCCGCCGTCAGACTCCGACCGGGCCGCCGAGGGTGCGGGCCCCAAGAACATCACCCCACCGCC